GAACACACAAAAATTCAATAATATATAGATCCGCCACATTACCCACCCCCGCCAGAATACCTCCCTCTACCTTATATTTGTAATTTTTTTTTTTTTCAGTGGCGCCCAGATGCATAAAGTTTATCATATTTAAGCACGATAAGGATAAAATGTACATTGGACGAATTTTAAGCTGAAGGATTTTATAAACGATAGTACTGGCCGTTACCTTGAATTTTTTTAATGTTATTAGACTGGAGGTAATAAATTGTCAATTCGAAGACAAACCACGTGACATTAGTAGAATCTAAATTTTAGATATCTATCTAAAGTAAGGATCTTTAGTACGTAGTACCAAAATTTCGCAAGGAAAACTTTTTGTTAGTGCGCAGAAGGTGATTTCATAGAGTCTGCGTCACACCTGATCCTGAAATCTGATTGGCCAGTGAAATTTTTTAGGTTAGGACAGTTTTTTTATATAGTTTACTTAAAAGTTCTCGATGTGGTACAAAAAATGTTGCTATGATATTAAATTTAATCTTTCTAACACTTAAATCGTGTACAAGCACATACTCTAAACAAATAATATCAATTTATTTATAGAAACTAATCAAATCTACATACATCACGGCTTCGCCCAATAAAGCCTTAACTTCTAGAAAGGAATTGTAAAAATTATAATAGTGGACAGCAAAAAAGTTGGACAAAGTCAACATATATATTTTATGTAATAGTACTGGTATATATTGTTTGTAAAAGGTAACCACCACCTCCGCTTGTTGACATCGATGGATGAGTTCGGCCGGGTAGAACCTACAAAATAAATAAGATTATATGAGAACTTTAAGGGTGGATCATAATATGATAATGCATAGTAAAATCCGGTTCTACCGGTTTCTCGCAGAATATCGAAATTAAACCCTGGTTGAAATTGATACCTGGTACGCTCGTAACCAACTCTCTGTTATTTGTGGATTTAGAAATTTTCCAGATATTCGCATGTGAACACAAGTGTTCACTAATACCTTTTAAATAATTTGATGTATGTAAATTTTTTATGAATAAAAATTACATTAATAAAAAATATATATATATATATTTATGCATACCTCTCTGTTAATGTGATAAATTATAATTGGTCTTGATCCAGCCAAATAAGGAACTAGCGTATCCAAGATTGATTCTGGCTGATATTGACTTGCAACTAATAACCTATATTTATAATAATAATTAAAGATATCGCATGCCAAATACAAATAATCGAGTTTTTCTTTAAAAAAAAATATATATATATATGTATATATACCCATCCAATCCGCCTTGCCATAAAATTTTTCTGGCTTCCTGCATTTTTTCATAATTGGCCTTTTTACGCAGATAAAATTTAAGTTCTTTTTCGGATAGTTTTGATTCATCTTGATAATTAAATGGCGCTGCACACATATAAAAAAATTTCTTAGTGATTAACATGAACTAAAATGGTTTAATTGCTTAACCACACAATTAGTTAATTACTAATGTACCTTGAGATTCTTCTTTAAAAATTTGTTGCCAAGATAATACCATTAACGACTCATTAACCTTTTTCGAAAAATTCATATATCTTACAATGTCATAATTATGATTTTCGCCGTCATGTATACCAAGCACAACACCGTAACCTGAATATTAAATTTATAATTAATTAAATGGGCAATTTAGGAAGTCATTAACCCAGTAACAATCCTATCGCATGATAAGCACTTAGTTGGGGTGTGTTAGGATAAAAAATGAAAATATAGTTTATAGATAAATAGCGTAATTGATTGATATTGTCTCGATATTTTTATCATGTGATTAAGACCCCGAGTTAACCGTTCGTTCCGATTAATTATGTAATTTATTCTAATACCTCCTAATCTTTCCATGACGCCTGTAATTAACAGCCCTTGTGTATCATCTACAACTAGCATTTTCGCGTTAGCTCTTACATTTGATAATGTTAACATCTGAGAGAGTGTGTCTATGCGCATATCTCTAAAGTAAAAAATCGGTTAATATTTTTGTGTGTTCGGTGGTAATGGGTTAAGATGGTATGGTTTACCTTATTTTTGAGGGATTTTTTGCATAGAAATATTCCCATACCGAATATAATGTTGGTCGTACAGGAGTAAAAACGCGTGAAAACCTATTTATTTAAATATAAATACGAACCACATAAAATTCGGGTGTTTGAATTGGTCATTGTAAAAGAATTTTATAAAATAGTATCCTTACTTTGATTCTTTTCGTTTAATATATTTCGCTTTAGAGTATTCGGTTTTTTTATCAAATGATGAATGGCTTTCGATTACTTTCTTGATAATATCCTAAAATGGTAAAAATTAATTGATTTCTTCAATTTAATTTAAATAATTTGAAGTAAAAGTTTTTGATCTAATAAAAGCAACCTGTCCTTCTAATCCGTCCTTTTTTAATTGTTCGATATCCTGATAGGATAACTTTTGTTTAGATGGGTCATCAATTGTTTGCTGATTATTTGCATCAGATTCATCTAAATCTAGAGTGATCTGAGAATAAGTATATTATAATTAAGAATATGGTGAATGAAAAAATTCTTACCAACTTCATAAAATGCGACATTTCTAATTATTTTTATTTTATCCCGGTCATAAATTTCGTAAGAATGACCAAAAGGTTTCCCTATTATATCGTTTGTATGAAAAGTACCAAATTTTCCTAATGACACAGTTCTATGGAATATAATAAAACCAAATGATCAATTTGTGTTAATATAGTAACAAAATTAAGTAACAATTTAAGACGAAAGAAAAAGAGTATAATACACACTCACGTATCCTTTTGCAGTTTAAGCACCTTAATATTACCGCTCGGAAGTACAATAAATACGTACTGATTATCCATAATATGAAGTGTATCAGTGTCTTCTACTTGCTCAAAAGACTCGTTATTGAAATCAATTTCATCAAAGTTTTGAGAATTAACCGGGTTGTTGGATTGTTCCGAAGACATCGTTAACGTTAAAGAAGTAATGGATTGCGATTGATAAACTTTCAAATGAAATTTAAATAAAAATTTTAACCAATCATAATGGGATTTTACTCATCGGCCAATCGGATTATCGCATATATATCATTGATTAAAAAATAAAGCTATCGCTATTTTTTTTTTATTCGACGATACGTACAGAAATGTGTATTCGATTTATCAAAATTATTTTTATACATTAAGCAATGTTCTAAAATTCTAAATCTATAAATTCATATATATATCAGATATATATATGTACGTACGTACATATACACATACGTATATATATATAGCCTCACAGTTCAACTACATAGTGCAGTTAAATGTTACCATTACATTATCATTAACAATATTTGCGATTGGCTTCACCTCATTACTTTTAGCTTGATCTTTGTTCTTTTGATTTGACTTTCCTTTACTCCGAGATTTATTAGGTGAATGTTCTTTATCATAAGTATCTTCAATGTTCGAATCTTTTGCCTTGCGTTTATTAGCTATCGGAAAATCAAAAGGGTTATATGGCAAGATTATGTTCGCTTTATTGGAGCAAATTTAAAGTGATGCAATGAATCTTAACGTTAGTGACCAGAAAAAATAATGGCAATTTCAAAATATCGCTATTACCATTCAAGAATTTAGTACTATATTCAACTAATTGGTGATTACTATCACCGAGATTTTCCTCTAATATGGGACCGATAACTAATGGACGGAATGGTTCAATTACTCTGGGCTAAAACATGAATTTACGATTATTTCAACATTTATAGACATGTACGCCATTCAATTAAAAATAAAATAAAATAACTCGCCTGATTATATTCTTTGTAGCTTCCCGCTCTTTTTTTAACATCTAATGTAAAAAAAAACAAAAAATTATAACATCGATCAAATTTTCTAATACTAATACATACGAGGTGACGATTCAGAAGAAGTAATAGACGCAGATTCATCAGCTTCTTCGGCAATTTCGTCTTCGGATAGGTAACCCGTAGGCACGATCCAGCCATCATCCTTAAACAAAAAAAATAAATAAATAAATAAATAAATTAAACAATAAGCTTGATTTTAAATGAAAAATATCCAAATCAATACGGCATTTCATACTCCAGGGTCTTCATCTTCTGGATCATCATCATCATCATCGTCACTTTTTAATTCTTCACCTTCTTCCTCTTCTTCCCATTCCATATCACTATCATATTCATAATCCATGATACTAGTGTCCTTGGCAAATGGGCGTCTGCCTGAAATAATCTTGCTCGACTTCGTCCAAGTACCTTGATCGACAGCAAAAACATATTTTATGAACTTAATTCATGAGTTCAAAAATGTTGAATCACCACAATTTTTTGAATTCAATTTTCAGTTCTATTTAGGATTTAGCTTCTATGTGTTGTTTTACTGAAAATTGGTGAAAAAAATTGCGGGAGATCCAAACATTTTGTAAATAGTATAGTACACTTATATATTCGAAAGCACAAGACATCAATACCGTAATATGGAGGACGATAATTTTCTTCAAATTGCAGCAATTTCATCCAAATTTTTTTGTCGTCTCCAAATAATGACGATAGATCATCTACAGCCATGTCTGCCACAGATATGAAACTACACTCTCTTGTCACAGTTCCGCTATGGGTCGACCAATCCATACTTTCACATCCATTATTATCATCATCAACATCCATTTTGAGAGGTTCATGTTTTGTTTGCAGAATTAATTCTTTAGCCGACACCAGTGCTTTCATACCACGTTTTTTAAGAAGTCCTGGTCGCACAGTTGACAAAAATTCCCTGATATATTTCTCAGACTCTTTTGTTTTTTGTGGTATTGAAGGGTTACATATCGGATTTTCCGAATTCGAATCGTTATTGCGCGTGTTTTCAAATACCATTTCAGCAAAATTCGATGCCACAGGATGCTGGAAGCGATTTATTGGGGCCATGGTCATGGTTTTCGTTACATTAAAGGGAAGAAAGTACGTATTAAATGGTGCGCTATTGGTGGCTTATAAAATAACACAATCCGTTAAGTTGGATTAAAAGACGAAAAATAGATGAATATTGATAAAATGCGAGATAGTCGCGTGAGGGCTTACCTGGCTTGTCATTCTTGGTGGCTTCTTTCCGAACAGGTGAAAAGAATTTTAGCAAACTTGAATTGGAAGTTTCAGTGGATTTGCGCGACATTTATTATTTGTCAAAGTAGTGTTCTGAAGAGAATTAAAGATAACCGATTGCCGCTGACGCGTAAAGAATTGCACGTTGAACGACACTAGCAAGATAGAAATTTATTTTGATTGGTTGTTTATTTCTATTGAAAAAACAATGTTACACAATTTTTTTTTATATTGTTTACAATAGAAAAATGAACCCGTAAATAGCAAAAAAAAAATCTTCATAATTACTGAATTAGGTCTATCTGAAATTTTGCATTATTACAATTTAGAACCGTATTTTTCATATAAGCGTTTGGGATCGAATGGG